AAGTCGTGCTAGCAAACTCATGACACGACTTCCCGTGGCAAGCTTTTCCATTCCTTGCGGGTAAAATTGTCCCCCAAGTTGGCAGTCGAACCCACGTGATGAAACAAGGGACCAGGCTGCTAACCAGGTGCCACCAGCAGGACGAACGACCAGGACAGGGCAGCCAACAACAGCCGTGCGCCAAGCAGTCCACAGGAGGCGCGCATGCCGTGTACCGGGCCCACCTCAGCGGTGCTCCACAGAATGCGCATGACGCTGCCGCAGCCGGCGTCAGCGGTATACCCTCCTGGCCCACCGCTGTACCCTGGTGCAGCTTTGGCCCTGACTGGGATCACGACCCGGCGTTATCGGCGCGGGTTTGCACCAGCGTGCCGGGCTGTGTTTTGTCACGGACGACGCCGGCTGACAGGTTGGGGGCTGGAGCCGGGCTGGAGCCAGGGAGCACGGAGAGAGAGAGAGAAACACAAGACAGAGAGGGAAGCGAGAACGAGGCAGAGGATGAGTGCAAAACACGCAGACACAGTCAAAGAGAGAGGATGGGGCGGGGGAGAGCTTTGGCGTTCGGTGGACACCCCTGGCGGGCGTCGCTGCCCACTGTTCCAGATCGCCGTCAGCCCAACCTATAAATATTTATGTCGGCGATGAGTTCAGATGTGCCGGCGGCGTGTCGCTCTCTGACGTCAGCGCGGCCGCGGCCGGCCGCCGCCGCTCGGAGCAGGGGTCGCCGCGCCACCCCGGCCTCCCTCCCCGCCTCCACTCGACGCCGCTCATCCCCTCTCAGCGACGACGGCGGCGGGCCGCTGCGAAAACAGCCGCGCCAGAGCGCCGTGGGAAGGCGGCGGCAAAAAGGCGGCGTCGCTCACCTGTTCGGCGGTTGTGCCGTCGGCCAATCTCGTCCCCGGACCTGTCAGAGGACATCTGTCAGCCGGCTGGCCCGGCGCCGCCTCGCCAAGTTTTTGTCGCCCGCGCTGGAGCCGACCGTTCAGTGGGGCCCGTCGGCTGTCTGAGGGATATGTCTGTGGGAGGGGATATCTGTATGCCTGACGTAGGCTGTAGGCATGGTCTGTAGACTTCATGACTACTTACCTGTCGGAAGAAGGAATCTGTTAAAGTTGAACGCTTGCATGCTGATTTGAACGCTTGCCTAACGTGCCTGTCCACTCACTTCTTATGTGTATGTTCGTCTCTCTCCTAAACTGTCGGGTTGTCCAGAGACATCCGTTGTAGTTTACCGGTCAAACCTGGTGAGAAATTTCGCCACCGTGAACATGAGATCTAGAGCGATTTGGCCGCCTCAGTCGTGGCTCGGTCGTTGGCTGTGGGATTCGGCTGGCAGCTTAGCGGCCTGGACTCCTGATGCGTCGTCCGACGAAGCCAGCCAGATCTGCCTGGCTGGCTCCGTCTGCTGGCAGGGCGGTCGGCTGCCGAGCCGCTGCCCGAGGCTGCCTGCCGCGCCCGTCTGTTGTGACAGCGACCCTCGCTGCACTCGTGTCTGCTTTATCTGAGCAAAACAGGCGTCCGGCCGCCGCCAAAGGGTGCCGCGCCTAATTGACGGCGCCGCACAATGACACCTTTCAGAGTGTACGGACGGCCATTGTACGCAGGCCACCCCTGACGCCGGCGTAAATGGCAACAATTTGTTGTTAGGCGTGGGGTGGCTGCTGCCCGCCAGCGGACCTCATGAATAAATTTACCGGATGCTGCCTGCCGAATGGGCGCGCGCGCCGCACCAATGCTCTCACACGATTGACCCTTTTCCGGCGCCGCCTGGATCGTTGCGTCCGCCGGCGGGACGCGTTTCGGCGGGCGGCATTTGACCGAGAGTGCGGCAGTGCGGCGAGCTGCCCCGCCTGACGGCGAGGCCGCCCTCCGCTCGTCGCAACGCGCCCGCCCGGGCTGTCACGTCAAGCGCCGAGGCCGGCCGAGTGCCTGACAATGCAATGACCCCACCCTAATTGAAAGTCGCATGCCGCCCGCCGGGCCGTCCATTTCCGACGCCATGCCGACCGTGCCGCGCGACAGCGGCCTCAGCGCGCCGCTGGAATCTGCAGCGGGTGGGAAATCCTGAGCGGAGCACGTCCGACGCGCGCAAAAACTTTCGCGGCGCGGCGCGCCCCGCCGCAGCGTCGACCGCCTGCCTCACGCCCCGTCTGCCGCCGCCCGCAGCGGCGCGGCCGGAAGACGAATGGCGGCGCGCCGCCACACCCTAGTGACAGGCGCGGGAGGCGCGGCATGCGTGACCGCCCCCGTCGGGAGCCACCCGCCGGGCTCCGGTGTCGCCGCCGCCGCCGCCGCCGCTGACAGCCGGCCGGTGCGGTGCTGGCGGCGGGGTTAGAGCGCGTGTCGACGCCGACTTTGGGCCGAGTTTCGGCGGCGGCCTGGTGAGGCGGTGACTGGATGACGGATGAGTGCGGCCGAGACGACGCGGCCGCCATCGATCAGCGACGCCGACATCCCCGGCCCTGGTCCGCTGGACCCCTCCCCGGCGCCGACATCCCTGGCCCGGGTCCGCTGAATCCCTCCGCGGCGCTGACACCACTGGTCCGGACCCACTGGGTCCCTCCCAGGCGCTGACTCCCTTTCCCCGAGTCCATTGGATCCACGTGGCGCCGACGCTCCTGGCCTGGATCCCGCTAGGCCCCTCCCGGCGCCGACACCCCTGGCGCGGACCCGCTGGATCCCTCCCAGTGCCGATACCCCTGGCCTGGACCCGCTGGATCCCCGCCCACCGCGCCACGCCCCTGATGAACAGTCAGTGACAGTCGTGCGGCTCACCTGCGCTTTCAAGCGCTCCATTCGTGCCTTCTTGTTCCCTTCACCCCACCTCCTGTACGCTAATACAGACACATATATCTAGCATTTGCTATTGGCGTGCATTCAAATCTGCTTGTGACTACCGGGGCATTCATCTTCTCTTATCTTCCACGGTCTTCGTGCCTTTTCCGTAGTTTACCTTTGCATTTGACCTGCTGTATCCGATCCATCTGCCTGTGTAAGGTATAATGACCACCTATAACTTAAGTTTCTCACCGCGTGTATTATGAGTCCTATCCATGCAACTTTTAGCGGTTGGACCCCTGCACCAGCTGACGCGCTCCGCATGTGTCGGGCTTTATACCATCGTATGTCATGCCCACTACCAACGGCTTGACGCCAAAACATTTTTTCTACTGCCCAAAGTGGCCCCTGTCTGAGCGGTTACCTTCGCGAGAATTCAACTGTTACGCGGTTGAATCCCTGCGAAGGCAGGCACAAAGCCAGCGAGTGCGAGGCAACCGTCGGCATAAATGAGCTATTTTTGGTTGTAGGTCAGTGTGTTAGCTCTGTGCAAAAAAAATATTCATTATTATCCTGCTTACTGGTTCGGTACTTTTTTGCCTAGTCATGCTCGAGTCATGAGTGTCCCTTGTATGATTGTTTCAACAGCCACGTTTTAAGTAGGATTCAGATATACACAGTTAAAAACCACGCTCCTCCAGTTCTATGCCTGTAGTATCCAGTTCAGAGCAGCTCGAAGATGCAGCATACTCTGCTCTCAAAGGCCGTTCGATCACTTGGTCGGTCTCCTCTACACACTGGGACGTCATCCTGGCTTCAGTTACTGGAATATCTGTCTTGCCTGCCCTTCCTCTTCCATGTGTTTCACACTCACTCCTTCGCTATATTTCTTTCTATCTGCGTCCTCTCTTTTCCACTTGTGCTCTCCTTACACCCCCCCCCACTCTCTCTCCCTCTCCCTATCCCTCTTTCTCTCTCTCTCTCTCTCTCTCCTCTCTCTCTCTCTCTCTCTCTCTCTCTCTCTTCTCTCTCTCTCTCTCTCTCTCTCCCTCTCTCTCTCTCTCTCTCTCTCTCTCTCTCTCTCTCTCTCTCTCTCTCCCCTCCCCGCTCCGTCCCAGTCGGCAGAGCTGGCTGCAAGAGGACGGTCGAGTACGACGCGACCCTGTTCAGCCGCCGACCAACGCTTGTTTTGCCGAGATTCGGCCCAAAAATTAAACATCAAGGGCTGTTTGTATTCACATCAACTGCGTTGTTTGCATACGCTGATGCGGCGCCGGAAGCATGGCCTGCACTCTCGGATAACGCTCCCGTGCTCCAGCAGATGGGAGACCCCGGCTGCCACGCACCGGCTGCAACGGGCACGAATAAAGGGCGGACACAGTGCGCCGTATGCTGCGTGGGTATTTGGATACAAAGTCAGGTGTATTCGAGAGCACGTTTCCTCGGTTGTATGGAATTTTTCCGACAGAATGGCTCACATCGGCAAGTCTTTGAAATATGGATGCATTTGCAATGTTCTTTGGAATGTGCATTACCATGCATCTTAGTGCTGTGATGTGTAATGGTTTCCTCACACAGCTTTACAGCTGTCAGTTGAAAGGCTCCAGGAATTATAAATAAGGTCTCTTTACGCATCATTAGGCGCATTACCACCGCTTTTTTGTGTCATCGCTCAGAGCATTTTTAGGGATACACGATGTAACGGTGTCGCAAACGCCTTACAGCTTGTCTGGCGCGCTAAATTGCAAGTCACCATAATTTCTTATCAGGGGGGGACAATCATCCTGCCTAACGTTCAATCAAGCCTGCCAATTTGAGCGGAGCAGTGAGGTCTGGTTTTTGGACCAGCCATCGCCGCATCGATCCACCGCCATGGTCTCGACGGGGCTGCACTGTGAAGAGTGGGGAGGAGAGAGGGCGCGCGCCTTAACACATGCTGCCGGAGGGCGGGGCCTCAGCGGGATCTGCACGGTACATGAAACCCATGACCAGTCCGTCACCTGTCTCTCATTGTACAAAACGAATGCCTTATTTATGATATGCACCCATGTGCATACAATGTGCGAGTGTTATGAAATGCATACTGTCCAATTAGCACGACTCACTCCATGACGTCGCGTGCTTTGATTAAAAAGCGTGCTCTAAGGCCGCACCTTAGCAGCAGCTGTCGACCTCTCGGCGACGCAGTGCGCCTGCTCTGACGCTGCTCCTGTCTGCGGCAGACATGTACCAGGAGTACCAGGAGCCCACGCCGCACCTGTACGGCCGCCACAGCCACGGCCTGGCGCTCGACGACGAGGCCATGGAGACGTACGTGGCGCGCACGCCGTCCGGCTCCGTGTACATCCCCTCAGGTCAGTGATCAGGCGCGGCGCGAGCGGTGCTGGCGGCACCCATCGCCAGGAGTATTGTTTGTGGCGCATACTGTGATTACGCTGTAGACGTACGCCAAGCTGTTCGGTAATTTCTGTCCCAACTTTCATCGCAAATGACAATACTGGAATTGTGCATGGCACCGTGCAGCGCCATGTCACCGTTCCCCCAAGCGAAAGTGTCTCCCTTCTCGGACACGTGGCCGGGTTCGGTGTCGCGTGAGTCCGCGCGGACGACCACCCGTCCATGTTGGGTCTGCCGCTGTGTCCATCCGTCCATTGTCCATTGTCCATCCGTCGGGGTGGCATCGCACGCGGTTTTACCCCCGATGTGGAGCGACGATACAGGTCGAACGCCAGCCGCTGCGCTGCAGGACGGTGCTGGTAATTTGCAGGTTAGCGATCACCAACACCAGCGGTCCGCTAAACACTGTCGCAGGTAGACCTCTGCGGTGCGAGGGGTCGTCGTGTTTCAATCGCATCATTGATCGGCTGGCAACGCGAGCCGCCACAGGTATCAAGCCGTTTTAGGTGCCATAGCGTCGGCTGGAGAGGGGAGGGGTAGAAGGGCACCGTGCATCGGACTAATTGTTCACGTGCGGTCGAGTGAGATGGCGGCCCGCGGGTCATAGCTTAATTGCCCACATGTGTGAAATCGCGGCGATGCATTATCGCGCTTCCGGGCTGGGAGTCCGAGTGCCCTGGCTCCTTCAGGCTGGGAACGGATGACTTCCGCTGGTTGTTGCATGCAAGTGCAGCCCAGCGCCGTGGCCAGATACGGTTGTTGTATGCATCCTTTCACCGGTCACTCATGAATTGTGGTTTTCATTTTGATAATTCGCTCAGCTATTATACAACACAAGCATGACCATGCCACGGTCGCTCGCGTGTCGCTACGCTGCCCTTATAAATAACAGCACACCAAAGCGCAGCATCGGTCATTCGAAAGTCCAGGTCCCCGCTCATAGGATTATTGCCTGTGAAAATCGGGCGGCTGTCTCGGCGGGCGGTATTTGTGCGGCCGGCCGCCCGTAACCCGGCCACTTTTACAGCCCAGAAACCGTTCTCATGTGCCATAAATTGTACGCCGCCGATGCTATCAGCATTTCAGAGCGGTCCAGCTTGGCCGGGCACCAATTCACCGCCTCCGTATGGACGACAACGTATGCCGCGCAGAGATAGACCAGTTTTATGGGACAGAGCCTCGAAGCGCGATCAACGCTGACCGTTCGGTCTCGGCCAGGGATGCGTCTGACCACGCCGACTATATTCGCCAATCCGGCAGTGTCGCCGGCGCGGTGTCGAATCGCCAGTGGTCAAAACGGCAGCGGCAACAACAGGAACGGGCTCCGCTCAGCTGGGTGGAATCTCGGGACATCCAGCTCAAAACCCAGCACGAAAATGACCAGTGAACCGTCCCTCCGACTTGCGTGACTGTACAACCCTTACTAACACTGTGGATGAACGCTAGTAGCCTTTTGGGTTGTTCTAGTGGGCTGCCATTAGCTGACTTTGGCTATCACTACTGTAAGCCTTCTCAACTATTATTTGTCCTTGCCCATTACATAACACAATTCTTGCCGGCTCTGTACCACCTATTCGTTTGCTTCTCTACGTTCGTTTCCTCCTCCTAGGTGGGAGTGCCGCGGCTTGATTTTAAGTTTTCTGGTGTTAAAGTACGGTTCATTGCATCGCTGGTGTAGAGGGCTACCCCTGGCTACCTGTTCTTGGGTAACGGTATAAAAACAGAGTGCAGTGCGGTGCTGATGCAGCAGTGTTGCAGCAGTACAGTTGCTGTCGCTGTTGCAGTGCTGTTGCGGCTCGTATCAAGCCACCGGTCCCCTCCCCAAGGAACGCGCCGCCTCAGTCCGCGGCCCTCCCCCATTTGGCCTTAGCATAACCAGCAGCAGCCGGTGCGTACACGATCCGGTGCGACCTGCAGCATGGGCGTCCCAGAGACTCGCAGAGCCGACCTATCCTATAATTCCAGCTCCGTGGCTGCCCGGCTTTACGGCCTGAACGAGGCGCCCGAGCCAGACATTTGTGCGCGAGCTCCGCGGACAAACGAGCGGCCCTCGGGCCCGTGATCACCTCCGCATCACTTGTTATACCTCCACGTCACGCTCCGTTGGGCGCGCCCGGCATTGTGGGCGCGCGCGCGCGCGGGGCGAGGGCGGCTGTGCGTCAATGCCGAACTGAGCAGCTTAGGTCGCCCCCCACCGTCCAGCCCAGCTCGGAAACAGGCAGCCTCAGAGTGCCAGCGGACGTTTTTGCGATTGTTGTTGTTTAACGCGTCGGAATGGGCTTCTAAGAGTGATTACATGTGTTCATCTGGCGGACAGTGGTGCGGCGCGTAGCTCAGGCATAAAAACACCGGGCGCCGGCAAACAACGATGGGTTTGGGAAGAGGGTGAGGTAGGGCAGAGCTGGGGCAGGGGGCAGGGGGCAGGGTGAGGGCAGAGGGACAGATGGCCCAATTCGACGCACCGCTGTGGACCATCGGCAAGCTCGCTCATTAATGACGGCCCGTGCGTCGTAGTCTGGATACGACAAAACTAGCCCACTTCGGCAATAATTGGGGAAACATGCTGGGCTCGGCGTTGTGTTTCAAACCAGGACAAACATACTACAACCTGCCTTGGGTTGTATCCGATGACCGCGAAGCCTGCACAAAGGTCGGGACAGCGTGGGTGTCCCCATGACGAAGGGGGGGGGGGGGGGCCCTTCTTATCAGGGCGTATGTCCGGACAGCGTTGCTTCTCCCCAGACAGCACAGTGCATCCCCAGACACCCCACGTTTCCGGGAGGCACGTTCCGTCGGCCGTGCCCGGCACTGGCCAACCTTTCCGGCTGCGTGGGAGGCCTCACACGCCACATCACCCACGCCGCACCGCACCGCACCGCACCGCGCCGCACCGCACCGCACCGCACCGCACCGCACCGCACCGTGCCGCACCGTACTGCACCGCGCCGCGCCGCATCGCACCGCGCCGAGCCGCGCCGCGCCGGGCCGCGCCGTGCCTCGCCGTAGCCAGCGCTACAGCCGCCGCAAGCACGGCACTCTCGTAAAGCTGACGCGGCGGCCTGCATTAGTGATGAGCGTCGGCCCTTGGCAGTCGATCGGCCGTCGGCCTGCCGGCCAGGTGTCCCTCACGGCGTCCATCTCCGGTCACCCTATGGCCCCGCCCGGCCGTAAACTTTTAATTAGATTGGCCGGGCGGTGGTGGCTCGTGATGTTCGCCGTTCGTCGCCGCCCGACCGACGGCGCGGCGCGGGAGGGGTTGGTACCCCGCCGCCGCCGGCCGCCCGACCGGGCCCGGGTCAGGTCACAGGTCACCCGGAGCCGGGTCAGGTCACACTCTCCTGAGCGGCGGCTGGGGGAGGTTCGGAGCGCTCATGGAGGCGCCGATCATGGGTCTTTTGGGTGCGTCAGCCGTCGTCGGTGCGTCCGGTGCTTTGGTGTAGGTAGGTGATCACTGCCACTACAAGATAAGCGTGAGAAATGTGCTCATTTTGTGGGAGATCAGCTGCATTCGAAACGATTGCCTGGCCTTTTCACTCCTTCCCCGCCCCCCCCCCCCCCGCTGGTTCCGCTCTGGTTATGCTGCCCCCCTCCCCCCAGCTGCCACGTTTTGCTCGGAGTAGTGCCCCCACAAAGGTAACAACCGTTTGATCCCTAAGGGGGCGAAATCAAGAATAAACTGAACTAGATACGCGAAATGAAGACGGCGTGATGTTTGTGAAAAAAGGAGCCAACAGCATCCGCTTTTTTAGGCATGTGAAAAGTAGCATAATCTGCATCCCCACACCTGAGCGAAACGTTGCGCTGTTCATCCATCAACCCCTTCAACGTTGCAACGCGACGGTTGCGTTGCGTTGCCCAACCCATCCCCGTCCATGCATGAAGTAAGAATGGTTACATGACTATCCTGTGATTATAAGCACTTGTATGGTACCTAATCATAAACCAACAAAACGTTGTACAATCGTGTATTAATGACGCGATAAGCTGGTTCCCTGTTAGAGTATGGGCTCATAAAGCATGTGAAACTAAGGTTAACAAACGCGATATGTTCGAGGGGGAAAAAATACATTGTGAACTGCTTTGAAGACTGTTTTTGCCCGACAACGTGCTGCAAGTTTAAAAAATGGATGACACGTTTTCCTGGCCGTCGGGAATCTTCATCTAGACGACAACAACTGAAGTTGTTTAACAGGCTGTTCAGCTTGGAGTTCGGTGACTGTGACGCGCAGCAGCATTCTGTTCTTGTCCGCAGTCTGTACGGCTGGTCGGACCGTTCCCATGCGCGTTGGCGAAGTCCTGTATCGACGGTGGGACACTGTTCTTCATCCTCTCTGCTTTCTTTTTACGTGACCTGATCTTTTTCGGGAGGGGTTTAAATGCGACTCGGTGATTGCCGAGCAGCCTGCTGGAGCCACCCAGCGATCCTCGCTGGCGGTCAGTTGGAGCCGCCCAGCGATCCTTGCTGGGGGGCCTGCTGCAGCCGCCCAGCGATCATCGCTGGGCGGCGTGCTGGAGCCGCCCAGCGGTCCTTACTGGCGGCCGTCCTGCGGCGCAGGGTCCAGTCTTGTCGTCATCAGCTGACTCGGAAGCCCCCTGTAGCGATCCCACGGACACCGGCATCGGTATCAGCCCGCAAGGTCGCTGGGAAGCCCTGGCCGTTCCCACTGATTGCGTCAATCCCCGCTGCCAGCCGGCCCAGTCCACCGGCTGACTCTGTGCCAGACGAACCCTTTAATTGATAATTGGTAATTGGATACACGGCGGCGCCCCGGGGCGTAATCGTGTGCGCTTCGACCACCGCTAACGAATGCCCCCCGCTCCTCCAGACGTGACGGCCAACACGCTGACGCAGTATAAGACGGGCCGGAGCGGCGCCAGTCCCTCCAAGTCGGAGGCGTCGAAGGCGGACAGGTACGGTAGCGCATCGACCACGCTGCGCGGGCGGCGGCAGGGGCGGCGGCGCCACAAGCGCGGTGATGCCCCCTCGCGAGGCCACCTGCACCACGGCCTCCGGGCGGAACGAATGGGGGGGGGGGGGGGGTTCAAGAGGGGACTGGCATAGCGGCCAGGTGCTCCTCTGCATCCCGGTTCTTGTTTGACGGGCTGTGCAGTTTGACAGTAATTTGTGTAATATGGAATGGTTGATCCTTGTCGCGCCGAATGATAAAGTGGCGCGTAGCCCAATCTAAGGTCCTGCATTATGCATTTCAACGAAGAGCAGCGAAGCAAATTTCACCATATCACGCTTTTGCGCTCTATGTTCTGACAGGCGTAGCCTGTGACGTACTTTGTTCTTTCACAAGGCGTTTCGCGGCTCATGTAGCATGACTGTCGCGGTCTGCGCAGACGAAATCGGAGACTTCCAAGCCGTGCACGTTCAAATGGCGTTTCAAATCATTCCGTGCCATTGGCCAAACACGCCGACGGACAGATCCAGACGTATCCTCTGGGATGACGGCAGTGTTTGCCCGAACCGGGTCCGCTCGGCTGCGTGTTTATTTTGACAAGGCCTCGAAATACCGACCGTGCCGCGCTGGCTGTCGCTCGCCGGCTGCCCCCGCACGCTGCTAGAACCAGCAGTTGTGTCGACGTGCGTGTGACACCACCGCCGCTTCCACCACGTCTGTCCCTCGCCTCACCTCGTCCCTGTCCCCTGCCCCGCCGCGCCCCGCCCCCTGTGCCCGCCCCGCCCTGCCCTGCCCTACCCTGTCCCCAGCCCCAGCATTCCGTCCATGCTCCGTTATTTGAGTCCTGTCGAGGCCAGGCCTGACCACTCTTCGTCGGCGACCGTCGGCCCCGACGCGCCCGGCCGTCGACGGAGCGTTAGAACGTCGTCGAGTGGCGGCCGTGACCCGTCGTTGCCGACCGGCCGTTGGGCGGGCTCGTCGGCCGCCGCTCGGCCAGCCACTGGGGCGAGGGCGGTTGGAGAGGAGCAGCCACGGGGGCGAGGGCAGCTGGACAGGGGCAGCCACTGGGGCGAGCGCAGTTGGAGAGGGACAGCCCCTGGGGCGAGGGTGGCTGGACAGAGACAGCTGGCGGGGCGAGGACGGCTGGAGAGAGGGTGCCTGGAGGGGACAGTCGCCGGGGCGGTATTCTCGAGGACGGCTGGAGAGAGGGCGCCTGGAGGGGACAGTCGCCGGGGCGGTATTCTCGAGGACGGCTGGAGAGAGGGCGCCTGTAGGGGACAGTCGCCGGGGCGGTATTCTCGAGGACGGCTGGAGAGAGGGCGCCTGGAGGGGACAGTCGCCGGGGCGGTATTCTCGAGGACGGCTGGAGAGAGGGCGCCTGGAGGGGACAGTCGCCGAGGCGGTATTCTCGAGGACGGCTGGAGAGAGGGCGCCTGGAGGGGACAGTCGCCGGGGCGGTATTCTCGAGGACGGCTGGAGAGAGGGTGCCTGCCTGGAGGGGACAGTCGCCGAGGCGGTATTCTCGAGGACGGCTGGAGAGAGGTGCCTGCCTGGAGGGGACAGTCGCCGGGGCGGTATTCTCGAGGACGGCTGGAGAGAGGGCGCCTGTAGGGGACAGTCACCGAGGCGGTATTCTCGAGGACGGCTGGAGAGAGGGTGCCTGGAGAGGAGAGTCGCCGGGGCGGTATTCTCGAGGACGGCTGTACGAGAAACGTCGACGCTGACATCGAGGCGGCGCGACGGCGCGGAGCAGCGGCGGTCGCAGAGACAGGAAGAAGTCGATATCAGGAGTGTGTAGAGAAAACAAGACCGTTAAGCCGCTATGGAAGGCTACGCCCCCGGAAAATAGATCGGAAGAGTGGGAGAAACTTTCTGCTTACAATATTGCAAAGTTCTACGTCTTTAAAAAGTTCCTAATCCAGTCTACTGGTACACAAACGATGCACAATGCGTCCATTAATAACCGTTCGTTGTAAATTGAAACCGCGCACGCATCCATTCATCAGGCACAACAGCGCGGTAGTGCAACGATTCTAAGATCGCTTTGCTATACGGATTCTGCTGGATGTTGTTAATCATTTCCAACAACTCAAAACAGAATCGTGTAAGAAGCTTCGCACGAGCCTGTTGTATTTTAAGCCATTATTTCTCGCGTCGTGGTGATGCATGCCCCTCCCTCTGATATGCATTTGTATACGCACATGCATGTGGTGCATAGTTACATCCATATGTGCCACATATACTTATATGGCGTAATTTCGGAAGTTTCGAACTAGATGCATACTGATACGACTCGTGTAAGCAGATGTACGCTTAAGCGACGCTGTTTGCTGAAGCCAAGTTTCAAGCGCCAATCCTGCGCATATCACACTGGCTCCTCCCTCTCAGAACAAGATTCCATTGGAGGGCGGGTATAATTCTGATGACCGCGAGCGTCCCGCGTTATCGTTTACACGATGTGCGACTCCACCCTCTACACATTAGACCTCTTCATATTGAGCCAGGATAAGGAGGCAGCCGCTCGCTTTGCTTCTTGCCACGTGGCAGACGTGTTGTTGTCCCTCTTGAAACCTGAAGAGGCTCGATGCATGACAGGAGGCCCAGAGTGGCCAAGTCAGGACATTGCTTACAATGAAAGGGGAGACCTGTAAGGTTTGCAGAAGAAAATATGTGGCTTGCAGGAGGCCCTATATTTTGTATGAAACCTATGACCTCCTTAGATCAAAGCTAGATACCGAGCATCAGTTCCTACTGGTAGCGAGGAAGCCCCAGATGATCCAAACGGAGCCTGTTGATATATGTAGGAGGATCCATGGAAAACACAGGAATCCGTGCCAACCCAAGAGGGCCCAAGCTAGAAAGCCCGGAGGTCCTACCAGGCCAAGGGATGTGGTTTTAGTCAATGTCATAAGCATGATTAAGAGGTTCTTTTGAATACACAAGTGGGTAAGATTCGAGGGAAAATGTGCAGATCCTCCTAGATCTGCTGAGGAGGCCCCTGGGCCTGTTTGTCTCCCGCGAAAAGTCACCCCTGCATTCTGCCATAACTGACGCGGCATCTTGCGTGCCGAACTCCCACATACGGCGGTTAGCTTGGGCTTGTCGACGGCGCCAGCTGCGACCGACTGTTGCCGCGTCCCGCCCCGGTCTGACGTGCCCCCCTCCCCCCTGGCACCCCCGCCGCGTATCATGCTCCACTCGGAACGCACCTCATCTGTCCTCCCTCGTACAGCGGCGGGGAGGGCCGCGGCGCGCGCCTCAGCATTGATTGTGCGTCGGCCCCCGGCACCGGCCGGCGGGCAGCCGTCTGCGGAGAGCGCTGGTCGGCGGAGCGACACCGCACATGACTCCGGCGCCGGATAATGATAGTCACAACGCGTGACGCCCCTCTCACGCGTCGTGTATCGAGTGGCGGAGGGAGTGAGGGGTATTGGCAAGGCATTAAGATACTAGGAGCCGCGAACATATTGCGTGAGATATGCGCGGCCAGAAAAAGAGTGTGCCGACAGATGGAAGGGAACAAAGCGATGGTGGATGACATCGTGGGGCCGGCCGAAGGGAAATAATCATCCGTGAGAGAACTAATAACCGGACGACGGACGTGGAATAACCAGCTTGTAAGGGATTATGTCGCGGAGATATTGGACGTCTTAGAAGAAAAACCCCCAGACCTGATCCCTCTTCCCTCCTTAGTTCTCTCTCTCTCTCTCTCTCTCTCTCTCTCTCTCTCTCTCTCTCTCTCTCTCTCTCTCTCTCTCTCTCTCTCTCTCTCTCTCTCTCTCTCTCTCTCGCCCTCGCGCTCTCCCTCTCTGTTTGCTTGGATGCTTCTGTTGTCCTCTTTCCTCCCTCCTTAGCTCGTTTGTTCCAGATTCTACTTTTTATGTTCTCACACTCGGAATTTTACTTGCTTATTTTGTGCTCTGGCTTTTCTCGACTCCTGTCCCCTTCCGTCTTCGTACATCATGCTTACTTTCTCCCAACCAATTGCCTTTATTTGAGCTTTATACTTCTTCAGTCGTGTTGCAAGCTTACGCCATATTTTAAAATTGGTTCATACACTAGCACGGTAAATATCTGCATGTCAGTCACCATCGACCTCTCCCAGTTCATGCAGCCAGTGTGGCTCTGTTGTTCAGACGTAAAACACGCCTGAACCTCACACCGTACCGCCCGATCGGTCCTGGTCATGTCCTAATCGGTCATGCAGCCCAGTGTGGTTCTGCTGTCCAGCTGTAAGACACACCTGAACCTCACACCATACCGCCCGATCGGTCCTGGTCATGTCCTAATCGGTCATGCAGCCCAGTGTGGTTCTGCTGTCCAGATGTAAAACACATCTGAACTCCACACCATACCGCCCGATCGGTCCTGGTCATGTCCTAATCGGTCATGCAGCCCAGTGTGGTTCTGCCGTCCAGATGTAAAACACACCTGAACCTCACACCATACCGCCCGATCGGTCCTGGTCATGTCCTAATCGGTCATGCAGCCCAGTGTGGTTCTGCTGTCCAGATGTAAAACACATATGAACCCCACACCATACCGCCCGATCGGTCCTGGTCATGTCCTAATCGGTCATGCAGCCCAGTGTGGTTCTGCCGTCCAGATGTAAAACACATCTGAACCCCACACCATACCGCCCGATCGGTCCTGGTCATGTCCTAATGCAGCCCAGTGTGGTTCTGCCTTTCAGATGTCAGAAGACACACCTGAGCCTCACATCACACTGCCCGCTCGGTCCCGGCGACGTATTTGAATCCGAACCGACACCGCTGTATGCGCCAGGACTGCCTGGCGCACGGTTCGGCCCCAGTCGCCGACAGTGCTGTTTCGAGCCAGTCCGTCAGCTTTGGCTGCACAGATCGGCTCCGCTGAGCCCTCGTCAAGCATTGTGTTAGAACCAAACCAGACAGGATTAAGTTAGGGGAGGCCGGATTTGTATCTAAACTCAATCAAGCAACCCCTGCCTCATACGGACTCCGGGCGTTCGACCAGATGTGCTCTGAATTATTCAGGCGCAGTTAGCTGCTGTTTTTGTCCCGTGTTTCACAGAGATTCTGTTACGGATTAGCCAGTAATAGATTCTGGTGGACTATTCTCGCTAAGATCTGGGGTGATAGTCGCTAAAACTTACTATCAGCGGCGGACCAGCTGCTTATAAAGTCCGCCATCTACTAGAACGATGATACTGTGAAAGGCT